GAGCATGGGGCGGGGGCGGGGCCAGGAGGGAGTGATAAGAGGTAAGGAAGGAAAAGAGTGGCGTCCTCTGAAATTTCCTCTCTCGCCGTGGAGAATAGCTTTCCTACCAGTCTCTCCTAGAGAGGCAGTGTATATGGTCAGCAACCTGGGCTCTGGAGCCTCAGAACTGGGAATCGAGTCCCCTGCCACTTCTAGCTGAGTAACCTAAGGCAGACCGTTTAATCTCTCTGTCTGTGGAATACGGGTAACAACATGGTCTTTGTAAGGTCTGTGTGACAACGGAATGAGTTAATGCACGTGAAGCACTGAGAGAGGGCCTAGAAGTTGAAAGTCAGCTGTTACTAACATAATCAGCAATAATGTGATTATTCTAGTTCTTACATTAGGAAAATGCAATTTTAAATGTGAATTTTCCTTATCCATGGATGTGCTACATGATGTCATAGGTTCTGTCAGTGGAGAAACTTGCTGAAATAGCCCTCTCTAAAATATCTTACAAGAATACTCACCCTCTACAGCACCTGAGAACCTACCACTAGGAGGTTCTTTATAAAGTGTTCATACTTTAGCAAGAGGGAACATGGTTGTTTAGCCATAGCATCTCAACATGAGTTAATTTACCACAGTAGATAGGAAGGACAGGGCTGAGCTAAGAGAATGCAATATTGGACAGCTGACAAAGAAGGTTCTAGCTTAGAGGGTTGTCTCTTGGGAGAGTGAGGTCTTCCCCTAGAGAACTAGGGATCATTCTGGAATTAAGAGGGGAAAAGGGAAATTAATTGAAGAGGACAGCAGCCCAGAGGAGAAGAGAGAATTGTTTAGTTAATATTGCTTAGGGCCGCCCTTGTTAATGAAAAGTTGCTGAAATGGCTTAAATGAAACTGCAGTCAAGCAGTAATAGTTTGACCCAACTTGTCTAAAAAACTACTAAGGTTATAAGCCCTAATACATTTTATATAAAATGATTACTGACACTAACATGGGAGAAAACATATTTTTAGGTATAATATATTTACATTTATAGTTCCCTTTTCGTTTGCAGTTAAAGCTGAAGCAGTTAGAATGCCTGACTCTCTTTGGGTGCTAATGTTTGGGCTGCAGCTGTCCCTAGAGATGTGGGCGCGCGTGCCAAGTCACTGTACACTTACGGCACTGCTCAGGGCACTTCCCCCGGAGGGAAAATTGTTCACTGGAGCTTTAGTGCAGGACCCAGCACAGGCAGGTGAAACCTTTTTATAATTGTCACGAGGAAAACAGGAGGCCCCCGGGGTGGGGGGTTCTGCCCAAGGGAGCCCCTCCCTGGTTATAACCTAATTTGTTGTGTGTATGTGAACCAGATGGGTGGAATTAAACCTTCTAAGGTGTTGTGGTTAGATTGTTTTAAAATATCCGGAGACTCCAGGAATTATGAGAAGTCATGTTTCTTTTTCAAAGGTAGTTTAAATGTGGGCTTTTGAAACTGAAACTATATCGCCTATGGCTATAGGGTGGGGGCTATTTTCCTTTTTCCCCCTATTGGGGTATATATAAAGGCTCTGAATTTCTTGACTTAATTCATGTTGGTGGTTTGATAAACATGGCTCTAAGGTAGCAAGATAGGGCACTAGAAGCTAGTTTGTCATTGAAGAAAGTCTTTGCTTTCTTCCCCTCTTTCTCCCCTGAAGAACTGGCTTTCCCAACCTTCCTGTCAGTCCTTTCGAGCATTCGTACAGCTGTCTGCCTGCGGTGTGGTGGAAATAAACTACAGAAAAAGCACAGGCTGCTGCTTAAGTGGGTTGAGGGCCAAAAAAAATGTATAGGCAAGAGGAAAGTATTACAGATAAGGTGAAAGAATACAAAATATTTATCTAAAATGAACTCTGGCTCTGGCTGAGTGGCTCAGTTGGTTGCAGCTTGTCTCATACACCAAAGGCTGAGGGTTCGATTTCTGGTCAGGGCACGTACTTAGGTTGTGGGTTTGATTTCCGGTTGGGGCACCTATGGGAGGCAACAGATCAATGTTTCTTTCACACATCGATGTTTCTTTCTCTTTCGCCCTTCCTCTCTCTCTAAAAATCAATAAACATATCCTCGGGTGAAGGTTAAATAAATAAGTAAATAAATAAATAAAATGAACTCCGAAATAAAAGATATATTGTTCCATGAAGAAGTCAGCCCAAATGTAGTTTCTTATGCATTGTAGATACTGAATTATCTTGAAACTGAATGTGCTCCAGTGGTCAAGGAAGTTAAAAAGATAAGCCCCCACATTCACCTTGGGGAAAGAAAAGGCATATCTACACTTGGAACACAGTGCACTGCCCTGTTTGCTTAGCTTCAAGAAAAGTCTAATGAGGCTGGATCCAGTCAAGAGCACAGCTGAAATAATCAATATTAGGGCTTCTATGTCCCTTCCATCAGGACCCACTTAAATGGCAAATTCCGCAGTATAAACAGTAGAAGGATAATGTCATGGGTGAATTTCATCCCCCTAAATTCAAATATTGAAGGCCTGACCCTCAGTAGCTCATAATGTGACTATGTTTGGAAATCGGGTCTTTAAAAAGGTAATTAAGTAATATGGGGTCATTAAGGTAGGCCCTAATCCGATGTGACTGGTGTTCTTATAAGAAGAGTTTAGAAGACAAAGAGACAGACAGATGCCAGATACATGCACACACAGAGATGACCACATGAATGACACAGAGAGATGACCATCTGCAAGCCAGGGAGAGAGGCCTCAGTAGAAACCACCCTGCCGATACCTTGATCTTAGACTTCTGGCCCCTAGAATTGTGAGAAAATAAATGTATGATGTTTAAGTCATACAGTCAGTCCATGGTGTTTTGTTATGGCAGCCCCAGCAAACTAATACAGATGAGAACAGCTATGGAACAAAGGATTAAAAGTGATGAAGGGTCTAGAAAAGGATGTGATTATCTCAGGATACCTGCGGGTCAGGGTTTCTTAAAGCAGGGTCTGCATACTGCCTTCATCAGAAACACATATGATGTTGTTTTAAAAAGCAGGTTCCCAGGCCCCTCTGCACCTACGATTAACCTTTTCTGGTATGAGGCCCGAGAATCTATCTTTTCAATAAAAACCCCAAGTGATGTTTCTTGCATCCTGAAGTGTGAGACTCTGTGCAAGGTCCTGCCCTACCTCTCGCCGTTTTCTGGGCCTAGCTGACTGGTACTAATCACATCTTAGCCAGTGCTAGTGTATCTGGTGTTCTGGTGGGTGCTCTGTGGTCCAGGAACTGGGTATGCATCCCATTGTAGGTTACATGTCTCCAGGTGTCAGCCAGTGTTTACCAGGAATGCTGAATGGGATGGACCAAATGAAACCTTAGGGGAGTTAACTCTCGATTCTGGGAAGAAATATGTGCCTCACCTACCTTACTTAAACTATAATGACATATTTTGAACAGAAATCTACAGTACATATATTATTTCTCTCATGAGATTTATTTAAAGACGTTATTACCTTGACACCTAAATTCTCAGAGGAAATACAAGGAGTAGAAAGAGCATATCTAACTTTGCTATACATCAGTTAAACTTATACGGGAAGTTCTCTGACAAGTCCTGGTGTCTTTTTAAGCCCTGTATAGTTAAAATATAATATTAGTGAAATAGATAAATAACACATATAGATAAAAACAAAAATAATAAATGGAAAGGGATCTACTAAATTATTTCAGCCAGGCACTGTGCTTTCATGGATTTCTTCACTATCAAAGGGAATGGGAGCAGAAAGCATGCTTTCATACAGCATTAAAGTGAATTTTCTTTCCCTAATCTGTGAAGCAAAGAGAAACTGAAGCTAGAGAGAGAGAGAAATAATTGAGAGTCCAAAGCAAACACAGTGACAAACGTTTTCACAGTAGGCAGAATAGGTGACATTCTGATTTAAAGATGGCAGTTCACTAGAAATATGTAAAGACTACTCCCATCTCCACTTATAAATGTGATTAAAGGCTATAACAAGCTTTTATAAGTTTATTTTTATTTTTTTATTTTTATTTATTGATTTGGTGGAGGGGAGTAACTTGAATTTGCTGTTCCACCTATTTTTGTATGTGCCCTGGCCTGACCCCAACTTTGGCTTATGCGGACTAGGCTCCAACCAAACGAGCTAGCCAGCCAGCGCCTACTAGTTTATTTTTTAAACTGAAATGTAGATAGGCCATTTGAGAATGTGAAGGTGGACAGGTCATTAGGCTATTTCTCGATTTTCCTTCTGGCGGTCCATCCTTGAAATAGGAAGCAGCTAGTGTCCCAGGAGTGACTAAGCCTGTCCAAGTACCTATGGCCACCCTTTTTTTGTTCACTTACTCAATGACAGGCGCTGCAAGTGCTTTTCCCTTCTTGGCTAACTAAATTGTAGTGTCTCTGTGTAGACTACTCATTCCCACTGGATCTGTCCCCCCCGCCCCCCCCGCTTTTTTTCTTTTTTTTTGAGGGAGTGGGGATGGGAGAATGGATGGGGAATTGCAGTTGTCAATGTTTCAGGTGCTTTCCAAAAACAAGAATTCTGGCACTTAAAGTGAATTGATTTTAAACTCTAGACTAACTCTAGCCTAGAGTGATTCTAGGCTAGACCTTAAATACTCTGGCGAGATCCAGGAGAAAAGCTTCGAGAGCCACTGAATTTCATTAGGAAAGAAAAGAGGAAACATTCAGTCTTCAAGGAGACAGCTTCCCAGTCTGGGCAGCGATGGCTTGCCAGAGGGGAGAGCCCTAACAATGAAAAACGGCTGTTTTGGCTGAAAAGGGGGTCTCGACTTGGACCAAAGCGCTCCTCGTGTGGTGTAAGGATTGGTGCGCCTTCCTAGACTTTTCTGAGCGGCCTTTTCCCTCGGTACTGACCTCAGCGAGGTCCCAGCCTTGGGGGCCACGTAGCTCCGAGGGCCTTGACCCGCGGACCCGCGGGGTCGCCGGTGGCGGCGGGACGCGCGAGCCGGGTGGCGGCGGCCGCGCCTTCATTAGAGGGCGCTCTGGGGGCGGCTCCGCCGCAGTCTCAACTCCCGCCGCTTCCTCCTCGCCGCCCCTCCCCACCAGCCCGGCGAACGCAACCGGCCCGTGGGGACCGAGTGTCCGCGCCGCCGGGGACGGGCGCGGGCCGCGCCGCAGCCAGAGCGGGGCCGGGTCCCGCCGCTGCCTCCTTCCGCCGGCCGCGCCGCCGGCCATGCATTCTTCCGGCTCCTCTGGCTCCCGTAGCCCGAGCCAGGGCCCGGCCAGCCCAAGGTAATCCCCGGCCCAGCGGGCGCAGGCCCCGGGGCTGCGGCGGCGCCGCGCCTCGGGAGGCGCTAGGGGGCGGGGAAGGGGTGTCGTCGTCGTGCGGCCGGGGGGAGGTGGCGGTGGCGGCATGAGGGACCAGGGCGCGGTAGGCCCCGAGGAGGAGGCGGGAGCGTGGGGCGTCCGCCCGCCTCCCCGGGACCCGCCCCGGTGACAGGTCCGGCCTCTTGAGTCCTCGCCGTCCCTCTGTCCGCAGGCAGCCGTGAGGGCACTAGAGCTCCCGCTTGCGCCGCGCCTCGGCCGCCGCCGCGTCCATGACCGCGACCCCTCGGCCGGGGACACCCGCCGCCGCACTCGCGCGCCCGGGGCCGCCGGTCCCCGGCCTCGCTCGCCCCCGCGCTCCACCTCCCGCCGTCCGAGCCCGCCGAGGTGAGCCCGGCGCGCGGGCCGTGACCGCCGCCCGGACCCCGTCCTCACCCGTGGAGACAGCTGCGGGCTCCACCCGCCGGCCGAGCGCAGTCGTCGCCTCTGCGTCCCCGCTTCTTTCATCATCCCCTGCTCCCCGGCCTTCTGATCGGAGACTTGGTTCCCTCCATCCCTGTCCCCCTCGCCTTTGCCTCCTGCTGGCTTTTTGCTCCCCTCCCCCTACTCCTGTCCTTTCTCCTTTTCGCCTTATTACCCCCCCCCACCCCCGCTTTTCTCCTCTCACCTTTCTGCCCTTTTTCTAGGCCCCTCTCCGTTTATTCTTAAAAAAAAAAAAAAAAAAAAGGAGGGGGGACGACAAAAACCCCCTTTGCCGCAAATGATCATTTTTAGTGGAACTCTTTTTGCTAATGTGAGAGACCTTTGGCAGGAATGAATCAGTGTGCAGGAATGGTGTTGCAGAGGATACCAGGTTCCTGGAATCTGGGAAATCTGATCGAGACGTTTTGGTCTTGTCACTAGTGTCCTTAGTTTGGAGATACTGAGGGTGTCTGAAGCAAGTGGGTCCATTTGTCTTCCTTACAGTCCAGCGGAAGACTGCAGTGGGACTTGGTGCAGGGACGGCCGCCGATTAGTTAGTGGGAAAAGCATTATCATTTGCTAAATATATTATGACATACCCTGTGCCTCTGTGAACAGCTCCCTTGACCTTGTGCGGCTCCTCTTGCCTCGCTCTCTGTCCCCCTCTGGAATTTCCCGGAGAGATCGCCGAGGTACTACACCGGCAGGGCTCAGATCCTCTATTTTCTTTTATTTTTGTGCTGGAGATGATTTCTATGTTGGTGACTATTTAGATGCGTTTAATCCATTTTCCTTTTTAAATGTATTTTCCTTTCACCTCAGAAAGACAGGACGGACTCCAATGTGAGAATGGCTGTGACTTTGGAAGAAGCTCCGTGGCTGGGCTGGATCTTGGTGAAAGCCCTGTTGAGGTTTGCCTTCATGGTCGTCAACAATCTGGTTGCAATTCCATCCTACGTCTGCTATGTGATTTTACTTCAGCCCCTTCGAGTGCTGGACAGTAAGCGCTTCTGGTACATTGAAGGAATGATGTATAAATGGCTTTTAGGCATGGTGGCTTCTTGGGGATGGTATGCTGGCTATACAGGTAAGAGTTTAATGTATATAAAGAAATATGTCATGTTATGCTTAATTTAGGAGCCATGATTAAATAGTACACTTCAGGTTGGTGATGCTTTTATGCTTTGACTATTGAAAAAAATTAATAGAAAACAATTTTATTGAGTTTTTTTCTTTAGAATTCCAATGAACAAGGATATTTTCAGAAGTATAATTTCATAATTATGTATTAATAAATTCCTTCAATAATATTTATGGGATTGACATTTAGTGAAACCAGTCTGCTAAAGCTGTCCTAGAGAGATAGGAGTGGGTTATATAGAACTTGAGGACTTATAAAATGAAGAGGTAAGATGTTTAGCTCATAAACATTGGGAATTTAGAAAAAGGACTGAGCCATATTTGTGCTAAGATAGTTCAGTATGTCTTTTCATTTAACATATTATTGTACAGTTAATGTTTTAAGCCAAACAAAAAATAGCTTTTTTCTGTTATGTACCTTTCTTTTGCCTACTAGAACCTGTCTATTTTATCCCATAAATCTGTGTTTGAATATTAAATATAAAAATTAAGTTTAATCTGCATTAAGCTAATTTATCTTCTGAGTGTCTTTTAAGTACATTTTTATTTCTGCCTTTAAATTACATTTTGGGAAGCAGGAGCAATGCTGTTCTGAAGTGGACTTTTTTAGAGAGCAAGATGAGAAGTAGTGTTTATATTTTTTTTGAAGGCTTTGAGAACTTGTGCCCCTGTTATGAAAATTCTGGATTGTGAATTATATTTGACTTTCTTCCCCTAAGAATTAGGATGATGAAAAAAGCACTGAGGTTTCTAGCCCTTGTCTTAGGTATGGAGACTTTTATTCTAGAAATTTATAATGGATAGGCTCCTTACAAATCACGCTGTAGATGGTGCACTCAGTGGAGTCTGCAGAGGAGGGTACTCTCAGGGTGCAACGGAGCAGCAGTTCCCCATTTTAAATTCTCTGTCTCCCTCTTTCCTGCCCAGGCCGCACCTGCAGATTTTATCCAGACACATGAGAAAAGGACTGACAGCACCAGCTTTTGTGGAGTCTGACAGACTCTTGCTAGGTCAGAGTGCTCTCAGTTGCCCGAGACGAAGCCTTTTCTCCTGGCAATGCCATTTATTGTTCTGGAAGACCCGAAGCCCCTGGGTAGTGTATGCATTGCTTCCTTGTCATGCGTCTCGTTCAGATCCCAGTGCTTTTTGGATATGCAGGGTGAGCTTCTAGTCCTTTTGCAGGACCTCATGGTAGCAATGGCGGTGATAGAGAAAAAGTGGAGTTCTCATCTGTGGCGTCGAATATTTACCTGAATTGCACTGCTGTTGTAGAATTGCTTTGCTCCATATAGTTTGAGCTTCTCCAGATACCCTGTGTGGTACTAGTCAGTGATTTTGTCCTTTGTATGGTACACTTAAGTTGCTTGTTTTAAACGAGCTGAAATAAGTTCTTAGAAATAAGTTCTAGAATTTTATCCTACTTAAACACAATGAGATGACTGAAATGTTTGTGCTTGTGCGTGTGGTATATTTGTGTATAAGTGTTAGCATGATGAGAGGCTGACAAAATTAATTTGGCATTGACCTTGAGATTGTAAGGCGTGCAATTATAAGTGCTGCTTGAAGTTAAGGTTAGTTACCCTATGGCCACAGCACGGCTGCAGTGTATTTTTAAGCATATTTTCTTGGGGTGTCTCTTCCAGGCTGACTGTAGAACTATAGTTTTTTTTTGCCACCTGCTTGGACGTGGTCTTGACATGATCTGCATTATTTTAGTCTCTCTGAAGCATCTGTTCTCTTCAGGCCACTGCATTGTGACCAATTGATTAGTTTGTCTCATTTAAGAGTGGAATGTTTTAGTGTGTTTATTTTAAATGGTTTTCCTACAGGTAGAATACTCTTAGAGGGCCTGGTCATGGTTTGATCATAACAGAACACAGTTCAGGGGTCAAACAAACAAATGTAAGGACGCCTTTTGTTGAAAGCTGCAGCTGGGTCTAAAGAAGCAAACGTAAGCACCTGCTTGTGTGCTCGTAAAAGCCTCTAGGACAGTGATTTTCGATCCTTTTCATCTCATGGCACACCAACTAATTACTAAAATTCTGCAGCACACCAGAAAAATGTGTTATATTTTTTGCTGTTCTGACAAAAAATAGGTATAGTTTTGATTTGTTCACACTGGATAGGTATTGTTAGGTTGGCCGCTGTCATTTCTTATTTGACAGTCGAAGGGCAAAGAGATCAGTGCCCTTGACTAGATAGTCAGGTATTGCATGTTTTAAAAATTCTTGCAGCACACCAGTTGAAAATCGCTAGTCTAGGAGGTTATATTAACCTTTGTATGAATTTATGCATTTCATTTCTTCCCTTTCTATCAAGATGGGGATGGGCTTAGGTCTTTTCCCCCCTTTCCCTATGCTAAAGTTTCACAGATGGAAAATTGAATGTTGCCGAAGGAATTCCGCTCTGCAGGTTCAGTCTGTTCATGTTTTACGATAAAAATGGCCAAACTTTGTTGAAAAACCGCTTCCGAGGAAATCTTAAATATGAATCAATTAATTATTAATTAGGAAGCTCAAAAGTGAATATTGGTTTAGGAGATCAGTTTTTCAAAATGTGGCATTCAGTCTAAGACCAGTCAATTACACAGCTCTCTGCTAAGGACTTATGTTCTTTATCAATCCTACAGTGCCCCAGATGGGAGCTTCTAGCCTATGTGGCTATTTAAATTTAAATTAATTAAAGGGAAATAAAATTTAAAATTCAGTGTCTCAGTCACACTAACCACATATCAAGTGCTTCATACTAGGTAGCTAGTGGCATTCTCTTTTTTTGTAGGAAAAATGCATTTTATCTTTATAGAAAGAATATTTTTCTAAACATAGTTCTAAACAGGTTTCTTTAAGAAAAGACCGGAAGATTTATTCAAGATTTATAAAATAGTCATTCAATTTAAGACAAATTTCACAAAAATGAGTCCTTTAAACTCATGGGGAATGGTGAGGCTAGTAAGCCCAAGAACTTGAATGAACATTTTTGAACTTAATTTGCATTCTCAGAGCTGGGGTACTGTGTGTGGACATAGAAGATGGAAAGGGGTTTTCTGGCCTTTCTGCCGATTTCTGACTTTACACTTTGTTAGGGGAACACAGATCTTAAAAGAACTCTGAGGACATTGCGGTTTGCTCATCTCTAGCTTGAGACTAAGTAGTGATGCTGTTGGTACCACATTTCCTTCAGTGGGAAGTGCTGTAGAAACATCTCACGTTGAGGAAAGTGTGTATACTGCCTTTGCTCTAACATTTCAAGGTTACACCAAAAGAGATACTGGCTTAATGAATGTTCCACTTTGAGTCAGTATACTCCGTTCCCTGCCCCACCCCTCCAGTTTAAGTGAACATTGGCAGATTTCAGAGAGAGATTTTTTTTAAATGTGTTTATTTAAAATAGTTTATTTTGATTCTCGTTCACTTATTTTAATAAATTCGTTGTTCCCCATCCACACATGGCCAAAAAGTTCATCTGGTTTTTTCTGTAAGATGGCTCTAGTAGCGCTTAGTTGTCTTTAACGTCATTCAAAACCATTTTGTTAGATTGTATTGTGACAGCTGTCATATCAGTGTGCATTTAAAAAACTTATCAAAATTGGTGAATTTTTGTGTAGCCATTTTAATAGTGAAGATGGAAGAAAATATGCAACATTTTTGGCATATTATGCTTTATTATTTCAAGAAAGGTAAAAACGCAACTGAAATGCAAAAAAAGATTTGTACAGTGTGTGGAACAGGTGTTGGGACTGATTGAATATGTCAAAAGTGGTTTGCAAAGTTTTGTGCTGGAGATTTCTCTCTGGATAATGCTCCATGGTAGGAGAGACCAGTTGAAGTTGCTAGCAATCAAATGGAGACAGTAATTGAGAACAATCAGCATTAAACCATGTGGGAGACAGTTGACATACTCAGAATATCCAAAGCAGTAAAGTTATTGGTGAAAATGGAAAATGTATCTTTATTTTATGGAAAAAAAACCTAAGTGGACTTTTTGGCCAACCCAATAATTAAAGCCTCTTACATAAACGTTAAAAAAAGAATTCGCTGTCAATAGAAGCACCAGAATTTGAATGGGAGTCTTTTGGGCCACAGTCTTAACTGAAGGGAGTTGGGGTGTCAGGGCACTTGCCACCAAACCGTTTTTGTTTAGCAAGTGCTGTTTCCCTAGAGTGGGTATTTACTTGAGTGCTTTTAGGGAAAGCTGATGGAGATTAGATTTAGCTTCCTCCCACTCTCCAGGTGACAGCTGTCATGGCTTTATGTTGGTCTTTGTGGGGTGAGTATTCGATAGTGTATTTTTTACTGGGATACAAATTCGTTTGTGTGGGGAAAAAAATCTTAGGAATTATACCTGACCTTGAAATTCTAGAAAATTTTTAAAAGCATATCTTCTTGAGTAGTAGTTTTCCACCTTTGATTGAGTTGTAAACCAATTTACCGTGTCAAGTTGAACATTTTTAAGAAGTGAAATACAATAGAATGAAATAGAAAAGATCAGAAATGTAAGTATCTGTACTAGGTAGTGCTACTGAATTTTTTTTTTTTTTTAATTTTTTTAACCATGAGCTCTGTCAGCATTTGAAAGGCATTGTTCTAGTGGAAAGAGCAATTTAGAACTCTGGGAGTCAGATGTCTTGATCCAGCTTTGATATATTTACTCATTGGTGGGGGCGAGATCCTTACCTGCTGTGCGCCCACTGGACTCTCAGCTCTTTACAGATAGAGAGGTGGTCTTCTTTATAACCCTGGAACCCAGCTGGTTGCCTGATGCTCACAGAGTGCTCCGCAGGGTCCAAGAAGTTCTTGAATGATCCCTTCTCTTTCTTGGTCCCAGCTGCGGTGCTTTCGCCACCTACCTTCCTGAAAGGTCTGATATCAAGGTCATTGCAATCCACAAATACAAGTCTGAAACCGGATCGTGCTTTTCACACACATACGCACATAAAAACATATCCTA